GAAGGGTCTAGGCCCGAAACGTCAGCCTTCCTGCTCCTACAATGCTGTTTGGCCTGCTGTGTTCATCCAGCTCTACACCATGTTGTCTCAGTTTTCACTATGTTGTGAATACAGAGGTGAGGAGGCTAATTTGTTTCCGCTGTCGTGGAGTTGTAATATATTTTATTTTTGTGCCAGATAGGGATGAAGAATTGTTGTTATTCATGCACATGTTCTTTCAATATTAGCAGCGCTGCACGTGTTAATCTCAGCATCCGGATGCTCCACTATGAGTTCACCAGCTGCTCCAGCTCCGAAATGTGCTCAGCCAGTAGCTGGACACTTCCTGCACACGGGGTTACTAGGGATACTGGTATGGGATGAACTTAAATAAAGCTTGTTAGTTATTCCCTTTAAAGAATACTCATTTTGTTAGGGATGTATTTCACTCCACACACACCCACTGTGATCCTGAAATTCTGGAGACCTTACTTTACTGCTTTACATTAGCCCCCTTACATTTCTTTTATTACCTTATTGCATTGGCCTTAACTTTCTCATTTTAATCCAAATATAGCTACTCATTTAAAAATACAATCTTTCCTACTTCATAGTAATTTGTAGACAGTCCCTAACAGTAGTTTCTTGCCAACCTTCTTCCTGTGAAGATAATCCTTGTTTATTTCACTCTGTTTCAAACTCAGCACAAGCTGCTCCTGCGAAGGTCCTGCTGCCTCTCCGATTCCTAAGGTAGTCAGACCGTTCCAGGTGAAGAACTAGATGAATTCTGTCATCACTGTCTTACAGATATTGTTCACATGGAAACAGCCAGTGGGAAATGGGCAGCTATTTCCATGCGGGTGCTGGTGACATCCTTTTTGTTTGAACAGGCGCCCACACAGTAACAAAAATTGAACTGTTCCTCAAAGTGCAGCGCAGGAATCGTAAGTATCAAGAGTGTGCTGATACAAGAGATCCATTGTTCCATAAGCCACGTCAACGTGTGAAAATCCAATTGAATCATTGATTCCCTGATTTACGGGTTAGAGGTTTAGAAGTAATGTACCACACCGAGACAACAAGGTGCAGGGCTGGATGAACACAGCAGGCCAAGCAGCATCATAGGAGCAGAGAGGCTGACGTTTCGGGCCTAGACCCTTCAAGTTTTGTCATTAACAAAAGAATAATCTTATCCACTGTAAACAAACTTATTCTTTAACCAAACAAGAAATGGATTTCTAATATCAGAGTACACAGCCTTAGCTTTATACCTTTAAATTCTCACGCACGTGCACATATATACACACAAAAACAGATTAGACCGTTTGGCACAAATACTAGAGAGAGAAAATATAGTCAGGAAGGCTGTAATTCCAGAGATCAAGAGTCCAGATTCCAAGGATAGATTTAATTGACTCACACAGTCCTTTCAAATGTTAGCACTGATGACACTGCTGTCTGTGAAGCAATGGTTGATTTACAATTCAATGATTAATCAGTGGACCTGTGTGTTTTCTGGTCAGCGAGTTCTCAGTTTTCAGAGCCCCGTGTCTCGCTTTCTCAAAGGGAAAGAGAGATGTACTTCTTTCTCGGCCTTTGGATATTTTCACAGAGAACCGGGAGCGTCCTGACTGTCTCTGCTGCATCGTACGCACAGGTCTGTGACAACATGCACTAGAAGGAATCAGAAAACTGTTGTCAAGGCATTGTCTGTTGTTTCAGGAGGCGATGGCCTATACAATGATCACTAGACTATTAATCCAGAAACTCAGCAAATGTTCTGGGGACCCAGGTTTGGATCTTGCCACAGCAGTTGGTGAAATTTGAAGTCAACAAAACAATTAATGCAAATGATTTGGATGAGAATATAGAAAGCATGGTTAGTAAGTTTGCGGATGACACCAAAATTAGTAGCATAGCAGACAGTGAAGAAGGTTTTCTAAGATTACAAAGGGATCTTGGTCAAATGGGTCAATGGGCTGAAAAATGGCAGATGGAGTTCAATCTGGATAAATGCAAGGTATTGTAATTTGCTACAACAAACAAGGTTAGGGCTTATACATTGAATGGTATGGCCTTGGTAGTGTTGTAGAACAGAGGGACCTAGCGGTGCAGTATATAATTCTTTGAAGTTTGCGTCACATAAAGACAGGATGGTTAAAGTGGTGTTTGGCATGCTTGCCTTCATTTCTCAATCCCTTGAGTATAGGAGTTGGGAAGTCATGTTGAGGTTGTAAAAGACATTAGTGAGGCCTCTTCTGGAATATTGTGTCCAGTTTTGATCGCCCAGTTATAGGAAGGATATTATTAAGCTGGAGAGGGTTCAGAAGAGCTTTACCAGGATGTTGCCAGGTATGGAAGGTTTGAATTATAAAGAAAGGCTGGATAGGCTGGGGCTTTTTTCACTGGAGCGTAAGAGATTGTGAGGTGGCGTTATAGAAGTTTATAAAATATTGTGGGGTATGGATAGAGTTAATGGTAATTGTCTTTTCCCTAGGATGGGGGATTTCAGGACTAGGGGACACATTTTTAAGATGAGAGGAGAGAGATTTAAAAAAGACATGAGGGGCAAATTATTTTTACACAGAGGTGGTTTGCATGTGGAATGAACTTCCCGAGGAAGTCGTGGATGTGGGTAAAATTACAACATTTAATAAACATTTGGATAAGTACATGAATAGTAAAAGTTTGGAGGGATATGGGCTGGGATCAGGCAGGTGGGACTAGTTCAGTTTGGGATTATGTTTGGCATGGACATGTTGGACTGAAGGGTCTGTTCTCATGCTGCATGTCTCTATGACTGTATGGGCAAAAGAATTATGAGGTGAAGTGAGAGTGACAGCCCTTGACAGTACGGCTGCATTTGACTGTGTATGGCATCCAGAGAGTGGCTCTGGAGTGAATTAATTCCTCTCTCAGGGTGACATTTGTACTTACTCCTCGGCTCATAAATGTATTATTGCCCATAACCCAGCCAGCCCACACTGCTGCAGCCAAGGTCTGTAGTTTCCTGACTTCTCTGCCAAAAGATCAGCAGCCTTCCTCCAGCCATGATGTAGCTACTGAAGAAGAAGCATGAGGAGGGGTAAAAGAACAGAGGAACAAAGATAGACTAATTATCCCCTTGAGCTGTTCAACCATTCACTAATATCATGGCTGATCTGGTGTGGCCTATAATTTCATTTTCTTGCCTGACCCCTATTACCCTTGCCTCATTTGTCAATTAAAAGCCAGTCAAACTCAGCCTTGAAGATACTCAATGATCCAGCCTCCAAGGCTCACTGCAGAAGATAAAGTTAAAAATTGATTACCCTCAGAGAAATCTCACCTCACCTCCCCAATAAATGGAAAACTGGTTGTTTTTTTTTTTGGCTAAGTGTCAATTTGATCATGTTTCTCCCCACGAGGCCCAATGAGTTTTCTTATCATATCTTAGTGAACTTTCTTCATTAACCAAAGACACCACTCCCATGGTGACCCTCATGAGCAATTCTCATCTCATTCTACCAACCACTGTTCCTGGAACAAACCACTATTCAATGGATATCTCCAAAAACTCAGCACCCCTGTTGGCCACGCCATCTTTAAAAAGTTACCATTCACCTTAACGAGCAATGGCACCCCAAAGCCACTCTGCTCACCAAAGGACAGTCCGGTAGAAAATGCCAGTGAAGAGGAAAATGATACTGGATTTGTCCAACTGGAACCTGAAAGTCCTGGGAGTTGGAGTGGTCTGGGGGGTATTCTTTTCCCACAGAACCGGCTGAGGAGGCCTCACCATCAGACATGGGCAGCCTGCTCGGAGGTCAGTACGATCCTAACGGTTCAGAGGAATGGCCAGCAGTGACGTAAGAAGGTCAATGACCTTCTGCGGTCGACCAGGGTGTGTGTGTGTGACACTTTTGTCTCTGCTACTTTACAATCACAGGATGGGCCACTGGGAAGGGGATGTGGATGTCTGGGGACACACCACACACTCAGGCTGTGGCTGGAATCAACTGGTTAAGGACAGCTCACTGTTGCCTTCTTTTGTGATGCAAATTGAAAGTGCTTGATGGGGATAAAATGACTGCAAGGTCAGGGTAAGTGACTTGACCTGTGAGAAAGGAATCATAGAATCCCTACAGTGTGGAACCAGACCAGTCAATCGATGAAGTCCCTCTGACCCTCCGAAGAGCATCCCACCCAAAACCACCCCTCTACCCGTTCCTGTAACCATGCTTTTTCCATGGCCAATCCACCTAGCCTGCACACCTTTGGACTGTGGGAGGAAACTGGAGCACCCAGTGGAAACCCATGCAGGTAAGGGGAGAATGTGCAAACTCCAAACAGATAGTCACCCGAGGCTGGAATCGAACCCGGGATCCTGGTGCTATAAGGCAGCAATGCTAACCATTGACATACCACGTTGCCCAAGGAGGTTTCAGAAAACACCAATCTTAGAGCTTTTACATAGAAAATAGGAGGATGGCTTTTGAAGAGAAAGTACATTGGATGTTGGGAAGATGCTTCCGTTGGTAGGAGAGGCTAGGACCTGTGGCACAGCCTTAGAGTAAAGGGAAGACCTTTTGGAACGGAGATAAGGAGAAACTTCTTCAGCCAGAGAGTGGTGAATCAATGAAATTCACTGCCACAGAAGGCTGTGGAGGCCAGGTCATTCAGTATATTTAAGACGGAGATAGATAGGTCCTTGATTATCAAGGGGTTCAAGGGCTATGGGGAGAAAGCGGGAGAATGGGGTTGAGAAACTTATCAGACATGATTGAATGGCGGAGCAGACTCAATGGGCTGAATGGCCTAATTTTTGCTCCTATGTCTTATGGTCTTATGGTCTAAATTCTACTGGTATGCTGTTCCAATAAACACTGGTCCCACTTATATAACTCCAAGTAATAAGAAAACAATAAATTAAAACTTAGTCTCTCAAAGTTCACACACAATGTGTCTTCCGGAATGCTCTGCCTTCTCCACTGTCTCTCCAGCCTTTATTCTGCTGATCCTGCTGCCAGGGACATTTTCTCTGCAATTTCTTCTGTGAGGACACTTAGCTAACAGTGCCGTGGTACCTTTTATGGTGTTTTTTAAAGAGAACTTAGTGATTTTGTGTGAGAGCGAGGTATTTATTGTTTGGATGGAGGGTTTGCTCACACCCCTTCAAATAGTAGTTGGCTCTCTACTGATTTTCCAAATGCCCTCTTTTTTTATACCCTTGATGACCCATCTATTTCTTACATTGGGATTGGTCCCCGGTTGTCAATACTATCAAATTTAAATTCAACTGGCTTTCAGTTTCTGAGTGCTTGGTTTAAGTTAATTGGCTGATTCAAGTTAGTTGCCAAAGCATCAAGGTTTTCAATCACACAGCCAATTGATACATGTTTCAATTTTTAGAACTTTCTGTAATCCGCAGCTGTTTACAGACCCATTTTCTGTATAAATCTCTAAGCTTAGAAAAACACTTTATCTCTTAAAGGGAACACATACAGTTCTCCTTTATTGTTTTTTTTAACAAAAAAAATTCTAGCTTCCTGCCTTCATGATTTTACTCTATATGACATCGTAACACTCTAAGTAGAATGACAGCGACAGTGAAAGTGATGATTTGATCCCGAAAGTGACCCCCAGTTCCATCACGTTAGTCACCACAAGCCCAAGGTGAAGCTTTTCAAGCAAAGAAAATGGGAATTCCCTGAGACTTGTTATATCTTGTTATATTCCAGTAATGGAGTTATATTCATGTGGGATCACTTAGTCACCTCAGTACCTGGCCTTTAGAGCTTTCATACCTGGAAATAGCTCTGACTATTTTCTCATTTAAATGAAAAGTAACCTCTCATACATAGGAACCTAAATTTGAATGGATGCATAGCTATATACTTTATTGCTCAGTGAGGGAGTAAGCCTGTATAATAGATGTGTTAGTTGCTTCAGAGGTTCTATTCAGCATACAGTTAATGTATGTTACAAACTGAATTTTGGTCGCTGAAGCTTGGAGAAACTGGTTGAAGTAGTTATGGTGCCTCTTCCTACACAATTAGGAAAAGGCCCATTGTGGTCAGCTTCCTAATGTAATTGCTTTGGTGGTGTCTGATATGTGAATATAGTTGTGGAGATTATTGAACAGTCCATGGTCCAGTGATAACTGGTTATTGAATTGAAGGTAATTGGGGATTGGTGACACATGGTTATTGTATAAAGTCCTGACATTGTCCTGATTAATGTCGTATTTGGATATTTTAGATGCTGCGCCACAGTGATGATCCAGGGTAGGTGAAAATTCAGTTTAAATCGAGTAACTGCTTTCATGGGTTTGAGACTACATTTTACTTTGAGTGGAATTTCATCTGGACCTTACATGGTGAACCACCTGATGTTTACAATGTACACTAGGTATATTCAGGGTTTTTAAAAAAAAATTCTAAAAGCAGATGGTTTTGCACTCTAAATGCCAATGAACTAAGCACATGTGCTTTATGAATAACAAATAACTATAATAAAAAGTATGCAATATAAATCAAGATTACTTATTGTAAAATTCAGTAAATTCAACAAAATTCTTGCAAAATTCTTCATTCCCAGTCCCATTCTTTAGTAACCCCTGTGTGTTGGAATTAAGCTGATGTTTGCATGATTCATTGTAAAAGGGTCTCAATTTCTAATCTGATAAATTACTGCGGTAATTAAATGAATTTTGCTTAGTGCTAGAGAATTTCCAAGTAATAGTGCGGATTTTCTGTCGCCAAGATCATCATTCTTCCAGTGTAGATGGGAACAGCGAATGGGAACCTTGCAGAATCCCCGTCATAGACTCTAAAGGAAATGTCTGGATTCCTCTGGTCAGTTCCTGTATGCTTAGAACCCTCCAAAAGTGTCTATTTAAACTGTAGAATTCAGAGGGACTGCTGAAGTTAGTAACTTCAGAGAAAAGTAAGACTACGAAATACTTGGTCTAACTTCTGGGTAAATATTTAACTGGCTCCCAAATTATCTTACACACCCCCAACTACACCTCTTCTAGGCCCTTTATACTCTCTTCACCACTGAACCCGACTCTGCCCCCTGCCAGTGTGGGATCCGACACACCCCTCCACCACCAAACCTGACAACCCCCAAACTCCGTGCGCGAGACATGACATCTTGGACACAGTCCCCGCTCTCTTCCACTGCTGGACCTGCCCACCTCTTCCCTGCACCAGCCCTGACCCTCCCAGTCCTGAAGCGGGAACCTTACAGACATCTCTGGACCAAGCAACCTCCTTCTCCGACTGCGGCACCCCTTCCAGTGCTTTAGATCTGAGCTTCTCCTTCTCCAGACCTTACAGCCGTCCCAATCCCTGGACCCAGCACATAACATCATCTCTGCCCTCCCCTAGAACCCAACAACCCCCCTCTAGCCTGCTATCTCCTGGACCTGATATCTTACACACCCTGATCTATCCTAAACGCTTCAACATCCTGGCTCCCTTGCCAGCTTGCACTATGTACATGTGGCACCATACTGCCTACCCACTTGTCACTGTACCAACCACTGTACCCTACCAATCAAGCACCCCTAACAACCTGGCACTGCATCTTATTACCACCTGGTAACCTACTGTAGGAGTGTTTTTTTCTGACCCGGGACAAAGACTCAGGAGGCAGGCAGGATTCAGGCAAGTGAAAGACGTTTATTCAAGTTGAAACCAGTTTATGCAGGGAGACAGTTCAAAGGATCTTCCCCGAATCTGGTTTCAGAGGCTAAATCAATGACACACCCTCTGGTTTTACAAAGAAATGCAGCATTTTTATACATTTTGTGTTACAGCAATCAAATGCAAAGTATTCACTGTCTTACCCCCTAATCCAAACACCCAATCCTGTGGGACACCTAATCAGTGATGGGCACTTCCATGGACAGCCCCATGATCTTATGGTATTAACTAGACATTGTAATCTCTAGGTCTTGGGATCTTCCTATGCATCCTATTCATTCGTATGCCAAAGCTTTAATGGCTATACTCCTTCGGGTCTTTCTCAGGCTTGTTTATCTGTAAGAACAGCTCAAATTCTATTACCCATTGTATTTTAGTGCTGTCTTTCATCACATTCAGTTATTCCATTTATTTTCCCATTGTCCCAATTACATTCTGTAAAAATAAAAAGTCAGTTGGTTTTAACTAATTGCAGTGAGGTTAACTTCTGTTATAATGTTAATTATAAGTGTAACGTTATACAAATACTTCCACTGTCAGCATTTTGTAATTTATGGGTTGTGATCAATCTATTTTGCTCAGGACATAAGAGAAGATGTCTCCTAAGGCTAGTTAATCTTCACATCTAAGCTAAAATGTTTTTTAAGGCTTGTATTACATTCTAGTTATGTATTGGAGCCAACTTCTATGATTAGAGCAGTTTTAGCTAGAAATTATTTAGTATTGCTGGTAGCTTCAAAGAGGCAACTATTTACTATGAAATAACTTTAGCAGTTATCCTTGCAGCTGCCTAAGGACCTAATCTAGCACCTGATGTTATTCATTTACTGGGACAATCATCCTTTCATTAATAAGGCTGGAATTGGTCATTTATCTGTCCTAAGGCATCCTTTTTATCAGAACTGTCTCGGATGGGAACATACAGAGTTCCTTTACTGACCTTCTAGCAGTTCTGTTTGAAGGTACCATTGTATTTCACTGCAGGCTGCTTAGTTTTGCTTTGCTTCTGTCTGCCATCTTGTAAGCAGGCATGGGCTGCTTAGAGTGTTCAGGTACAAGTCACCTTACATAGCCAGGTATTATGGGCAGCATAGTGGCTCAGTGGTTAGCACTGCTGCCTCACAGCACCAGGGACCCGGGTTCGATTCCAGCCTCGGGCGGCTGTGTGGAGTTTGCACATTCTCCCTGTGTCTGTGTGGGTTTCCTTTGGGTGCTCTGGTTTCCTCCCACAGTCTAAAGATGTGCAGGCTAGGTGGATTGGTCAGGCTAAATTGCCAGGGATGTTTGGGTTAGACATGGGAAATTAGGGGGGTGGGTCTGGGTGGTGTGGAATTGTTGGGCTGAATAGCCTGTTTCTGCACTGTATTGATTCTATGATGATTAAAGATGAGGAAGATCCATTGAATAACATACAGGTCACCCCTACACCTACCTTCATAGCAATCAAACTTGAGACTGACATCATTACTGTTTGACAGCAGTTTTCCAACTATACTTTTCAGAACATTGCAGCTGACATCTGTAAAAAAGCATGGTTAGTCTTCCCCAAATAATTCTACACTGCAGGAAGCCTGTCAGAGCGGACTCCACATTTCCAAAGAAGTCCTGATCAGAATCTTCTGTCAGAAATGCAGAGCTCTTTTGTTGCCTAAAACAGAAAACAATTTGCGTAAGATTGCCATTGTTTGGAAAATCCAACCCAATATATGTTCAGCATTATCAACTCCCAAAAATTTGCTTTTGGAGGCCTAACAACTGGTATTGTTATGGTGGAGCATTTGCAATCCTCTGGTATCCAACCACAAGACTGTAATTCCTAGCCCTGAAATACAAGAACATATCACATATCATTTCACATGTGATGATATTTCATGTTGTTCACATCTGGCCACAAAGACCGATCCCCACAGATATTGAGTGGGATTAGAAACCAAATCTTTTCAATGAGTGAACAATATTTTGATTACCCAATGGGTGGGCTAATTACTGGCCCCAGGAGTAAATAGAAAGGATATACTTTAACCTGAAACCTTTGTACTTATGTGTGTTCTTATCCACTGTAAATGTATCTGCACAGACTGGCAAAAGATTGGAACTAACTTCAGCCATCTAGTGTCTTGTCTCTTCCAATGTTACTTATTTGTGTATCATCTACCTTTGTATACAAGTAATGGTGGGATTTCTTTTTTAAAAAGTCATAAATGATATGGATAATAGAATCCAGTGACTCCATAGCCACAAGGAATAACAAATTGTAGGCTCTTGAGCTAAGTTTGAGATGAGAGGCAAAGGGCCCAGCTGTTAAGACGCTAGCTTGTTACCAGTGGACCTGTTGAGCCTGCTGTCTGTAAAAGTGAAAATTGTGGGTCTTGGTGTTCCCTTTGAGGGGCCTGGGTCATATTTTGGAACCGCTTTCATTGAGACGGAATTTTTTTTGAAGCGTGTTGCATTTCCCGAGTTTCTCGGGCAGTGCATGTTCAGTCTTAACCAGATATTGCATTTTCATTTAACTTCCATGCAGCTGATTTTACGTTTGCATCTGTTTCTGTGTGAGAGACACAGATAGTTGATTGCCATGTGCCTCACTCAATCTGAAGTGTATTTGGTGGCAGGTGAAGAGACATCTGCTCTTTGTTGTGAATGCATTCAGAGGAGAAAGGAGATGAGGGAGAAAGGAATGGACAGTTATGCTGATACGGTTAGATGAAGTAGATTGGAAGGAGGTTTGTGTGGAGCATAAACACTGATACAATTAGGCTGAATGGCCTGTCTCAGCTGCAAATACCATAAAATATCACTCCTTTCATCATCCTCAAAAACAAGCATTGAAAATTTTTGTCCTTCTTTGTTAAAAACACGATTCCAAGTGGGAGGAAGGAGAAGCTGTCTGGAAGCACATTCAGTGCAGTCCAGGAACAACAAACCAGGCCTTAGGCCATGCCAGTCCTATTCATAAGAGTCAATTGGGCCAGTTTTTCACTTTGAACACAATCAGGAAATTGAGCGTAATTTATGCCTGTGTTTCCAAATTTAATTTATGAATCAAAATTCCATCTAAACTTCATTGAATAATATGGAATGTAAATTTTTCACATCTGTGCAAAATACAAAGTTCAATTTAAACGTATTAAGGAAAGTTTTTAATCTGATCCAAATGCAAATTAACTCAATTACTGCATGAATCTAATTGATTGAAATTAATTTTGAATGAATAATGTAAATAGTTGTTAATTTCCAGTCTCTTTTACCTCCTCCACCTTCTCTTCCTTATCTTCCAAGGATGGAGCTTGTAGAGTTGTTTACACGTTTATAATTTTTTTTGCCTGATAACTTGTTTGTTGCATTTAAAGTTTTTGAACAGTTGCTGGTTTGGATACACTTTTATTGAAGCTTTTTAAATGTTGGTGGGTGGTTATGCATTTTGAACATTTTCCGACATTTTGAATATGTATGTTTCTGAATAAAATTTTACCACTCATGTTGATAAAGTGTTACATTCTCAATGCATTTGCTCTTAAACTGAACAAGAAGCAATTATAAGTAAAGTTTTGACCTGTAAACTCTATCAATATAATGATTATAATGAATTGCATTCTATTTTTAAAATCATACTGTCCAATCTCGTGCTTTTTGCACAGTGTAGGCAAGGCATGAGGTGGAATGTATTATGCAGAGTCATGCCTTCAGATTCCTGCACCAATAGCCTTCCAATCCAGTTCCTGCCTCCCGTGCAGACTCAACTCCAATTTCTAAGGCATATTATGTTACTTAACTGGTCCCGCTGTCAGGATTTCTACCTTGTTAGAAAGTGAAAGTATGCAAGCTGCAGCAGACTGATATGGCCCCAGTCTGCCAACATCTCAGGACCTTCATAACTTTACTCATAATTGCTTATTGCAGACCACTTTGCAGATCCACTTACACTTGTGCACTTCAAACTGTACCTTGGAGGCACACTGGAAACTAACATTGTAATGCTGCAAGAACATTCTGCAAATAGAAACCAGAAGATTTGTTGGAAGATTTCGGAGTCTGATGCTCTCTGGATTTGAGACAAAGGTTCTGTTGTCTGCTCAGGGCCCCAGTGAGCTAATGACGGACTCCATACCTTTTCTTCAGCAAGCCGAAGAAAGGGGGCGTACGGTTCAGATCCTGTACAACCCAGAATTGGGACCTCAGGAAGGTACCTGTGTGTCAGGTTCTTCAGCACATCCGTCCTTTCTTCATATGCCTCCAATAAGGTCAGCTCCTTGGACACCTGACAGACATGTGACTCCATGTCGAGAATCTAACTTTCCAACTTTTTAATTCTGGATTTCTACCTTTTTGTTAACCCCTTTGCATTGTGGATGTTAGACTTGCTCACGTCGCACCACACTCTCAAAGAGGAGATGTTTCCTTGCTTCAGTCTCCAGCCAGCCCAGAAGATGAAATGCGTCTGGAATCATTTGTCATCCAGTTAAAGTGCCAGTGTCTGAGCAGTGGAACAGAGGCCCCCAAGCTGCAGAATTCTCGGCAGTGCCCGTACCGCATCTCTCTTGTGACCCAATCCAATCCAATTTTACTGCCTTCCAATAGGACCCTCCCTGACTTAGCACTCTACCCCACTCTTGACCCAATTGGATCTGATTACCCCCATTCACCACAATCCCTACCCACATGCCACCTTACCATATTACCGACTTGACTCCGTTCTGATTCACTAAGAATCATTAAATAACATTTAATTAACATTTTATTTAGTCCAAAGATGTGCAACTTAGGTGGATTGGCCATAATAACTTGCCCCATAGCATTTAGGAGTGTGTAGGTTAGGTAGATTAGTCATGGTTAATGCCATGGATAAGGGTGGGGAGTGGGTATGGGTGGGTACTCTTTGGAGGATTGGTGAGACTTGATGGGCTGAATGGCGTCTATTTGTGCTCTAGGGATTCTATGAAAATACGTATTGGAATGATGACAAAGGTATTTGGATGAGTTATCAATGGCACCTCCCCATATGTTGTGTAGAGACAGGAGACAGTGATAGACACCACCCTAAGCAAATGTGAAGAGACAAACCATACTATCATTTGCCCCTACCACGTGTAGCCTAACAAGCACACAGCCTGTGGTTTTAAAACAAACAGTGATTTAGACTGTACTGTACAGCTAGGACCCTAAGGACTGACATCTCACAGGTCTCATACAGGTGAGAAGGAGAATACTGTATAACAACCTCACTTGATAGCTATCAGTACAGGGATTCCACTTGCAACATTGTAAACACCAGTTTTTGTTCCAATCCCTGCATTCCTGCATGCGTAGGCTTAATAGAGTTAACTGACATAAATCAGAGACCAGTGATGCCCATCAATACTACTGATGAACTGAGAGATTCCTTCTGGAAATTCTTTGAGAAGTATGACACAGGGATAAAATTCCTACCAGAGAAGCTAGATGAAGTCTGAACACAATTAACGAGCACCCACCAAACTTTCACTCATGGGGCACAACACACTGAAAAACTACAGGTTGAAGTAAACAAGATTACTAATTACTACTAATTGATGGGATGACAACTGGAACTGGGACACAAATATTCAGATCCATCAATGGACTCAACTCCTCTCCCATGTGGCTGTTGTTATAATTGCATTTACTTTAGTGTATCTCACAGCTTTAACCATTAAGATCAGTAGATGGAAAAAATAGATATCCCAACAGTTTGGTACCATCACCATGGGCAATAATATGCCCGAGTTCAAGAACCTTAGGATACAGGAAACTGTATTCCTTCCTGTGTTGCTAAGTTTCTTTTATTCTACTAGATTTTATATTACTATAATGCAGTATCTCAATGATTTACTGCTGTATGTAACCATGTAAACTTAGTATGTATAGTTGCAATGCGCCACACTTTACCATCTTAACCTGCATGCTCATATAAGTATCTGATCCGTACCCACAATGGCTTATGCTCTAGGTCACCTTTACAGCAAGTCTACCTTGAACACACCTACCTCATGAGAAGCCCAACTCGGCTTTGTGCATTTAGAAAGTTAATGATATTTGCTAACGTGACTGCTCAAGTAAAATAAAATCACTAAAAAGGAACCAGCTACAACCATAATGCAAGAAATACAAGCACAGCAACTGAAATAAACAGTCCTTGCATGGTATTTTGTATATTACATTGGTTTTATTGGTTGTGATTTTAAAAAGGGATGGATACCCAAAAAGCATAATCCGCTGTTACCTCTGCGACAGACCGCAACAAGAAGACACAACACGGCCAGACACACCAGTCACCCTACTGTACATCAGAGACATATCAGAGATGACCACAGGACTACTCTGACCCCTAGGTGTCAGGGTAGCCCACAAACCAACAACCACCCTGTGACAGCTACTGATGAACGTAAAGGATTCCATACCTACAACCAGTAAAACCAACGTAATATACAAAATACCATGCAAGGACTGTGAGAAACATTACATAGGCCAAGAAAACTGACAATAAGGATACACGAACACCAACCGGCCACCAACAGACACGCCCAATTCTCGCTGGTCTCAATACACATGGACAAAGAAGGACATGAATTCGACTGGGACAATGCATCCATTATAGCATGAGCCAAACAGAGACATGCCAGGGAATTCCTGGAGGCCTGGCATTCCAACTGGAACTCCATCAACAAACACATTGAACTGTATCCAATTTACAAACCACTGAAAAACAGAACCGGAAGTAATACCAAACACCCCAGCAAACCGAGGCATATAAATAACAAGTGGGACAGAACACCAATGCTTCACCAGAGGTGCATGGATGATGTTACCCAGCAGGGTGACGAAACATCTGCAACCAAATACACCAGCTCGGCGAGCAAGTCAACTACCTCATCCACAACCCGAGCTACAAATCTTCTCAAAAACTTAGATAGCATCATAACAGGGTAGATTTTCAAATTCAGTTTGACAGAGGGCAGGTTGGGCCTTAAACCAGTGTCCTCAAACTTAAGGGCAATTGCAGAGGTATTAAGAAAGAGATGCCCAAAGTAGCCTGGGAAAATAGACTAAAGGGAAAGTCAGTAGATGAGCAGTGGCAGACAATGAAGTAAATATTTCACAATATTCAGCAAAACCTTATTCCGATCAAAAAGAAGAACTCAATGAGAAGACTGAGCCATCCACAGTTAACAAACATGGTCAAGGAGAGCATCCAATCAAAAAGTAAGCCATATGATGTGGTGAAAACTAATTATAGGCAGGACGATTGGGATTTCTTTTTGGGAACCAGGAGCAGGTGACTAGAGTGCAAATGAGAGAGAAATTGCTTATGAAAATAAGTTGACACGAAATAAAACGAAGTAAGAGCTTCAATGAATATATAATATGAAAGCTAGTAGATATATTGTGCATGATGTTTGACACACTTGGATAGGTATGGATGTACAATCTTAAAGGGAAAGGTATGATAGTTCAAGAAATGACAGATCACCAGTGAATCCATATTGTCTGCACAGTTGAGGGAAATGAACGAAGAAACTACAGGAACCTTGTCTCATTACAGACCAATCATCCACCAATAATTGATTGGGTGAGCCTAATCAGGACATGTGGACAATGTGGAAAATGATTTACAGATCACTTAAGAAGAACTGAATCCAGGTCAGCAAGTTAGCATCACCCTTATTGGGCTTTGCTTGTTACTGGTCCACTGGCCACACAAGTGTTTTTCCTGACAGTGGAAATACTAAATAAAATTATTTGCACTGTGGTGTCTTTACTAAGTCACTGCACATATGGTCTTCACAACTTCATACAAGGACACAAGAAATATAAAGGAAATAAAAGAGATTAACAGCTATGAGCTTTTCTTCTGAAGTGCAGATATTGATTCACATGAATATTTGAGCCCAGTGGCAGCTCTTTCACTCATGAGTTACAAGTTCAAACATGTCTAGATGGCTAACAGTAGGAGCTGCAAGATTCCTTCAAAGTTGGTGATGACCTTAGTAAATAAGGTTTGATTTCCAATCAAACACAAAACTTTCCACAAGTAGGTTTCAAGGAAATATGGACTTGAAGCAAATTTAGCTGTTAGCATGGAGCCCTGCTAGCTGTTCTTTGTCCTGATGTTAAAAGCAGTCTGAGACAAGATAATTGGGTGGCTCAGTGGTTGGCAATACTGCTTCACAGCACCAGGAACTTGGTTTTGATTCCAGCCGCGGGTGACTATCTGTGTGGAATTTGCACATTCTCTCTGTGTCGGCATGGGTTTGCTCTGATTTCCTCCCACAGTCCAAAGATGTGCAGGTTAGGGTGGATTGGCCACACTAAGTTGCCCATAGTGTCCAGGGATGTGCAGGCTAGGTGGATAAACCATGGGAAATGCCAAGTTACACGGATAGGGTAGTGGGGTGGATCTCTGTGGGATGCTCTTTGGAGGAATGGTGTGAACTCGATGGGCTGAATGGCTTGTTTCCATACAGTAGGGATTCTAAGAGTCCAGAAATGTACAATTAAAATTATTCAAAGACCACAGCATTTTGGATCTGTGATATTTGATGACTCAATTAGATTAGCAAAGCAAGGTTCTATGACTCTGGTCAAAATCCTTTGATTACTTTAGGAGTTAGATGAGGGCTGTTAGTGCCCGTGCAAGTGTAATAGTATCAATGAGGTCTCTAACTAAAAGTCCATGCAACTAATAGGTGAGAAATTCCACCAGAGGAATCGGAATCACGAATCATACAGTGCAGAAATGCCCTTCAATCCATCAAGTCTGTACAGCGAAAACTACGTTAAATCTGTACTTGTCCCACTTTCCAGCATTTGGCCCATAGCCTTATGGCATTTCAAGTGCTCATACAAGTCCTTTTTAAAGGTTGTAAAGTAAAGTTTAAAGTACTTTTAGAGGTTTCCCACCTAAAGTATCCTCCCAGGCCATGCATTCCAGATACCCACCACCCTCTGTGTGAAAAACATCTTCCTCAAATCCCCTCTAAACCTCCTTTGACCTTATTGACCCTTCGACTAAGGGGAACAACTGCTTCCTATCCACTCCCTCTCAGCCTCCATTGCTCCAAAGAAAACAATATGACCATCTCCAGCCTCTCTTCATAGCTATCTAACTGCTCCAGAGTAAACTTGCACATCATGTGAGCTGCAGTAAGCATTTTAGTTCAATAAGCTCCATTTAAAAATGAACAAGAATGCATGCTGTGCATGGAGATTAATTGATTTCTAGAGATTAAAGACAAGGGATGTGTCTATAGTGCAGGAAAATGA